AAGCTAGTATTCAATAAGTTACTATTCAATACGTTACTCGCTATCTTTGGTTGTAAATAGTGAGTAGCCTTTTAGCAGAGTGCGGTTATTAACAAAATGACGCCGCGTCTTTGCGTTTTCGAAGTGTCCGTGAAGAGGATTTAGAAAAAGTTTTGAAGGACTAGTCGAGATTTATACAAAAACAATTCGATTATTCGATTTCTCTGCGTGATAGTTGACTCGTGGACTGTGCTCTCTTCAACTATCAAGCGATACAAATCTCAAGCTCATAATCTCATTTTTACACGTAAATAGAAACACGTTTTATCACCAGTCGAGCGTATTTTATTTGGGCTATTTTCCAAAACTGGATGCTGTATTACCAGAATCGATTTAGACACGGTTTGTAGAAGCTAGCTCGAGCATGCTCAGTCCGTAAAAGACAATTCTTAGAATTAGCGGAAGACATCAGTTCACTTGCAGCTGTTGTAGCGTGACGGCATGGTACTTTCCCCTCTTTAATTTCTATTTCAGTTTCCAATATGTGACATCAGATAGTCTAACAAGGTGAGATGTTTCTATAATGACGTCCTTTAAAGTATGTTATGAGAAGGCAACAGTCCTTGGGGAACGTTTCCTTACTTTTTGTTTCTTGAAAACTGACATTTGAGGTTAGATTCACATCATCTGTATATAAAATTTGACCTGTTTATCTCTGCGTGTCATAAAATTCCATGAAAAAATGAGGTTTTTATTTTAGCAGTTTCGTCATCGGGTGAATCATCCAATCAAAGGGCAAAAGAAAATTCTTAGAAAAACGGCATCGGTTTATTTCAATTTCAACATCTGCGTATTTTCAGTTTTTACAACAGAGGTACCGAGAGCCAAATACAATGAGCGAGGAAGAAGATCATCGCAAAGTTGTCTGTTTTCTACAGCCTAATTTTACTGACGTTCTCAAAAGCAAAGAAGCTGGCGAAAAACGGTTTATCGTGACAGAGTTTGACGACTGTGACACAATCCACGTTCGAGTTCAATGCCGTGATACTCCAAGTAAGCCAGAAGAGCGAGTCGCTTTCAAGGTCTTTGAAGAGCTGCCGCCTTGCTCAGAGATTCCAGAAATTGCTTCTAGTCTGATTTCCAGTCTTCCCGCTCTCGATGAGCCGCAGCTTGCAATCTTGGTTTCTGAAGACGACCATGTCAGAGCCTGTGTGCGACCGAAGTCGACTGAACCCCTAGAGCAAGCAGCTGTTCTGCGCCAACCCCGAAGATCCCAGCTGTACTCGCGCAGTCGTGGCATACTGGAGTCGAGTCTTTTGGAGGAACGAAAGGTTGCTGTGGTTGGTCTCGGAAGTGGCGGCTCCCATGTGGCAATAGAGCTAGCCAAGGCTGGAGTTGGCAAGTTTGTATTGGTCGACTTCGATCGAATTGAGCTGCACAACATCATCCGCCATATTTGTGGTTTAAGCGACCTGGGGCGTCTGAAGACCAATGTCATGCGAGATCGTATTCTGGACAAGAACCCATTTGCCGAGGTGGAGATTTTCAACACCAACATTAATAACTTAGACGACGCCAGAAGAATTCTCAAAGGATCTGACGTTGTCATTGCTGCGACCGACAACATCAGAAGTAGGCTCAATATCAACACACTTTCCATAGAGCTTGGAATACCCACCCTCTACGGCAAATGTGCCGTGAGAGCTGCAGGGGGAGAAGTGCTGCGGGTGAGACCAAAGGTGGGTCCATGCTTCTCTTGCATCTACGCTGATGCATCGATGGAAGCCAGTGCAGAAGAGATGTCCTCCTTCCGTCAAGCTCGTGAGGCTAATCCTCCTTACGTTGGAGACGATGAAGTTAAGGCTACAATTCAGGTCGGGCTGTCCTCGGACATCATACCCATCGCCAACATGCTGGTGAAGCTGGCCCTGGTGGAGCTCTGCCGTGGTAAGGATAGCGCCTTAGCGCCGCTGGAGAAGGATCTGGCGGCTCCCTATTACATGTGGGCCAATCGTAGAGAGCAGCAGTTTGCAGGTTACCCAGAAGATGGCTTTCATAGGTTCGACCGGCCAGGAATTCTGAGGTGGTATCCAATGATGAGCGAAAGAAAATCTGACTGCAAGACGTGCCAAGATATGGAAGCCAGTGCCGCAAATGTTGACTTTTTCTCTTCCCCAGAAAAGTAAACGTGCACGTCAGGAAAAGTATTCCGAATAGGAAA